AAGCGCCTGTTCGACTCTCTGTGCCTAACTGAATGACAGCCGCTGTTATTATCCTGTCTAGACAGCTGACATTTAGGCAGATGAACCCCATGTGAAGTGCTCTGTGACCAGGAATTAGTTTGTTTCATAGATCCCTCTAAGGAAAGTGAAGGCAATATCTGAACAGAACAAATTAATAGCGTGATTAAAACAAAGCCATTTGCTAGTTTTGAGTGTGGACTCTGACACATCTAGGGCTTATCTTTCCCATGGACCTACACGGCATTTTTCAAAGAACAACCCTTGTTCCTTCTTTAATGAAAAATATATCAAGGAATTTGCAATTTGCCAATCCATAGCCTGAATAAGAAAAATTCTATTATGATTCACCTTTGTGCTTTATCCAATCTTGAATATAAATGAGATAAATGGTGAGCGTGAGCTATTTTCGTTACAGCAAGTTCTGTCTGCAATACAGTTTTAATAACCTTGCATATGTTTCGTGGTGTTATTTAGGCTTTCTAAACTGCCTGTTATAAGGAAATCTCGGCAAAACCAAACAAAAAGAGATTAATTCTGTCTTTTGTTTCCATTGGAAAAGCATGCTACTGTGCACACCCTCACAGTTGCTCGTGGTGTGAACTTGAGTTGTCAGAGAAAGATGAGGTAAAGTGTGGTCTTTCACTTGCGTGTTTTGAGCAATGGAGCTTTACAGGCTTTACAAGCTCCATGAGACGAGCTCTGCTCCAGAGCTGGAGGGCTGTGGTGACTTAAGATTTCTCCTTCACTTGAGCAGTATTTTAGCCTTCACCATGCACAGCTCAGCTCCTGCGAATGGTTAATTGTTAACCACCCCATTTCCTTCTCAGTCAGTGTCATCTCTTCTTATCAACAATGCTCATTGGCTTCCCTCACATTTCTGTGCTTGGTGTAGATGAGGGATACGTACTGCATGTTGAAATGAGCTATGGGAAGGCTTATATGGACAGGTCATACTTCTTTTATGTGATAGCCAGGAGGGAGCTCTGATGTTCTTGTAGGGTCTATTTGCTACAATTTATAGCTGTAATTGAGGCTGATTACAGTATGTGAGAAGGGTGTTTCACTAGAGTTGTTGCAGAGGAGACTATGAAGTGGAACCATGAGGCCCTGGAGCATCTTAACTGCCTTATTTGCCCTCCTGAATGTCCAGTAGTAGGTGAAAATAGAGCAGTCAGGAGGGAAAGCTGTTGACAGCCAGGAAAGTTACTGTAATACGAAAGGCCTCAACTTGGCACAGGCAACCATTTCTGTCTTTGCAAACAATTAAGATGATATTTCCTCAGAAAAAGCTATTTCTTTGGGAAAAGGTCTGTGATTAAAGCATTATGTTTCATTTGCTGTCTACTGTCACATCATGATTTGCTCAGAGACTGGCCCATACAGGTTTTTTGCACCTATTTGTTCATGCAGATTTGAAGAATGACATCATTAGATGGATGCCTTTTCCTGTCATAACCGTTTTCAAGCCACACAGTGGCTTTCAGCCTGAAAGGTTCATGAGGGCAACTAAGAAACCCAAGAATCTTAGGGCCTAAGTTCAGCATTCAAAAGTTTTTATTTACCCTTGAAAAGTTTTAGGAGGTTACTAACTGAAAGCTAAAAGCTCTCCTGTAGTTTAAAATCAAGTGTTCAAAATAACCTACTATGACCAGGTTTGTGTGCTGGAATTACACACGTAAGTGTTAATATGTGTAATTGGGCATCTGTGAGGGTGGGAATAGGTTAGAATAGCCCAAATAAAAGAAACCCCAGTAAATCCTCCAGGAACTGGATGCATTCAGGAGCACAGCACATTTGTACCCCAACTGTCTGCTGGAAGGGTTTAGCAGCTGGGACTTCACGTCACGAAACAACGGGTTCATTGCGGATGAGACCATATTGACATTGGACCCATGTTTGTGATTTATGATTGAACTAATAATCCTTGTCAGAACAGTTCAGTCTGTTCTGGCTTTTCTCAACACAAACAAGGCTAATCTCTGAAGTGCTGTTTTTGTGGGCTAAGATAATTAACTAAGTACAGAACAAAGTCAGAAGCTTTACACAAATGCCTGCAATCAAGATTATTAACTTGTGATAATGACGAGTTGATTGGGATAAGACTATGTCATGTTAAAATATGAAAATTGAATGTAGTTAAGTGTTTTGGAATAGCAATTTTCAGCAAAGACATAGACCTATTAGGGATGATTCAGAGGAGAGCCATAAAAATAATCATAGGGCTGGAACATCTCTACTATGAACACAGACTGAGAGAGTTGGAGATGTTCAGCCTGAAGAAGAGAAGGCTCTGGAGAGACCTCATTGCCATCTTTCAGTATATAAAAAGGGCTTACAGGAAAGACTAAAGGAGACTTTTTACCAAGGCCTATAGTGACAGGACAAGGGACAACAGTTTTAAACTAGATAGATAGGTTACGCTGATGCCAGTCTTATGAAGTTTAAGCAAGCCAAGTGCAAGGTCCTACACCTGGGTTGACACAACCCCAGGCACAGCTACAGGTTGGGAGGAGAAAAGATTCAAAGCAGCCCTGCGGAGAAGGACTTGGGGGGGCGGTTGATGAGAAGCTTGACATGAGCCTGCTTCAGTGTGCGCTTGAGCCCAGAAACCAACCGTATCTTGGGCTGCATCAAAAGAAGC